ACAACAACTACCGCCACTACCACCACCACAACAACAACTGCCACCACCGCCGCTACCACTACCACCATCACCACCAACACAATCACCACCACCACTACCACACATTATTTTAATTACTCTCGTCTGATTACTTTACCTTGATTACTTTTATCTAATTGCTCTGATCATTTCATTTTAATTACTTTTTGTATTTTCTCAAATTACTCTACTTTTTCCTTTATGACTTTTGTATTTATTCTAATTTATTTTTTGTGGTATTTGATGCTTTTTCATTACTTTTTCTTAATTACTTTGCCTCCTTCTATGATTACTTTCCAGTAATTACTTTAACGGTAATTGGTTTTTGATTACTGCTCTGTTTTCTTCAATTATTTTAGCTCAATTACAGATAATTTTTTCTTTAATTAGATTTTTTTCATTAATTATTTTTATTACTTTTACTTAATACTTTTAATCAGGTTTCATTAATTACTTTTTGACTTGAATACTTTTAATACTTTTCTGATTTTCGTTGTATTAATATTTTCATTCGTTATTTTTTATTTATTTTTTTACATTATTCGTAATTTTACCGAATTTTCCCTATTTCTATTTTCTAATTATGTTTCTTTACTCCTTCTTTACTTGGCGTTTCTCTTATTACCATCTTTATCTTAACTGTGTTCTCTCTCCTATTTCTTTTTATGTGTGTCATTTTTCTCTTTCCACACCTTTATCATTCATTCTCTTTGTCCCTTCCTCTGCCTCTATCTTTATCAAGTTCTCTTACTCTCTGCTTTATTTCCCCTCTTTATTACGTCTATATATCCTATCATCTTTATCGCTTTATTTATGGTTCTCACTTTATTTTTCCTCCACTTATTCCCTTTATTTATCATCTTATTCCACTTCTCCCTGATTCATATGACGTATTAATTCTCCTTCTCTCTATTTCTCATCTTTATCACGTGTGTCTGATTCATTTTTATTATTATGTCTCTCTTGTGGGGTCCTTTCTCTCTCTCTCTCTCTCTCTCTCTCTCTCTCTCTCTCTCTCTCTCTCTCTCGTTTAAGGATGAAGGTATTGACTGACAGTGAGAATGGAAGGAGGGAAGTAGACAGAGAGAAAGAGAAGAAAGAATGGGAGAGAGAGAGAGGAGGGAAGCAACAGTGAACGAAGAAGAGGAAGAGGGAAAAAAGAACGGATTAAGGAAGGAAGGGAGAGAAGGATGAGGGAAGAGCTAATTGCCGGTAATTATGATGAAGGCAAACAATGGAAGGAAAGAGAGGGAGGGAGAGAGGGAATGAGGGAGAGAGGAGAGAGAGGGAATGGAGGGAGAGAGAGAGAGGGAATGAGGAGAGAGGGGTAATGAGGAGGAGAGGGAATGAGGGAGGGAGAGAGGAATGAGGGAGGGAGAGAGGGAATGAGGGAGAGAGAGAGGGAATGAGGGAGAGAGAGAGGAATGAGGGAGAGAGGGGTAATGAGGGGAGGGAGAGGGAAATGAGGGAGGGAGAGAGGGAAACAGAGGGGAGGGAGAGAGGAATGAGGGAGAGAGGGAAGGAGCAGGGGAAGGACGAGTGAGGGGAATGGGGTTCACCACGTTATACCACACTTCTCCCACCACACTCCTCACACACACCCCCAGCACCACACTCCCACCACACACTTGCCACACACCCCCTCTGCCACCCCACCACACCCCCACCACACACACCCCCACACCCCGCCACACTCCAGCTGTTCAGGCTTGATACTCCCCTGGTAGAGAAAATGGAAGAGTAATTAAGACGTGAGTTGAGACGAGATATAGGAGAGGGGGAGTGGGGGAGGGAGGGGGGGAGTGGGGGGAAGGAGAGGGGGGAGGGGGGGCAGAGGGAGGGGGGGAAGGAGAGGGAGGAGTGGGGGGGGAGGAGGGAGGAGGGGGGGAAAGGGGAGGGGGGGAGGGGGGGGGAGAGGGAGGAAGGAGGGAGATATTGGGAAGGAGTGAAGGAGAGAGGAAGGAAGGAAGGAAGGAACAAAAATATCACACAAAAACGATTATAAAACAAACAACTAAATTACAGTGAAGTCCTGCAGCAATATCGTCGCCATTTTGTCCTTGTCATGTTTTTTCTTGCGACAAGTTTGAGTCAGTGAGTCAGCTGTGAGTCTCAAGGATCTGACAGCTGCTGGAATTGGGGCAAGTCAGTCGTGTCTGTCTGTGTTTGTATGTGTGTGTGTGTGTTTGTCTGTGTGTGTGTGTGCGTGTGTGTGTTTGCCTGTGTGTGTGTTTGCCTGTGTATGTGTTTGTCTGTGAGTGTGTGTGTGCTTGCCTGCCTATATCTGTCTGTCTGTCTGTATACTGTGTATGTGTGTGTGTGTGTGTGTGTGTGTACGTGCGTGCGCGCGCGCGCCCAGAGAGTCAACATGGTCTCTCATATTCCACTGTACAAACACACCACCATGAGAACTCTCCCCTCTCACTTCCTCTCCCCTCACTCACTCCCCTCTTCCATACTCTTTTCCTGTCCTCTTTCCCCATTTCCCCTCACCTCCGCCTCCTCCCACCTCCCTCTGACCCCCTCTCCCTCACCCTCTCCCCCACTCGCCTCCCTCCTTCACCCCTCTCCCCTCACCCCTCTCCCACCACTCCTCTTCCACCTCTCCCTCTCGCCTTGTCTCGGGTTATTTACCAACACCTGTACGATAGTTTGGGACAGGACAGCTGGCAGCTCCTTCCTTTGCTCACTGCCGCCACTAAGGGGTGATGGCAGCCTGGCGGACGTGTGATGTATTACCTCCAGTAAATCGTTTCTTTTATTATTATCGAACCCCTCAAAGGCTCACCCCAGAGGAGACATCCACCCCAGATACTGTGAGGCGGTGCCGGACCCACCCCCACACACACACACACACAGTCACACACACACACAGTCACACACACACACACACACACACACAGTCACACACCCACACAGTCACACACACTCACACACAGTCACACACACACACACACACACACACACACATACAGTCACACACAGTCACACACACACACACACACACACACACTCACACTCACACACACACACACACACACACACACAAAAGATACACCTCGCTCGTATATACCCAGCTGACGTTAACAACCGGTGTCTGTGTGTGTTATTTTATCTTCGCCAATTTTATGATTTTACTTTTGACATCATCGTCAATTCTCCCTCGCCAACATCGTCAATTCTCCCTCGTCAACATCGTCAATTCTCCCTCGCCAACATCGTCAATTCTCCCTCGCCAACATCGTCAATTCTCCCTCGCCAACATCGTCAATTCTCCCTCGCCAACATCGTCAATTCTCCCTCGCCAACATCGTCAATTCTCCCTCGCAATTTTCATCATTTTCCCCCGCTGTCAATTTCACCTCCCCGCCAGCCAGTGAGTCGGCGACGCCTTTAGGGATAAAACGCTTTCTGTGTCGTACTTGACTCCCCGTGTCTAGGGGAAATATTGACCCTTTTCTTCCCCTGACAACCCTTAAGAAACCCGTAGTTAAGGGTTGAACTTTCCTCCTTATCATTAGGTTTTAGGGATAGTTTTCATTGCGGCAGTTTCAGATTTTAGCTAATGACAAAGTCGGCAGATTTAAGGATGAAAATCTGACCTAATGTTACAATATTAACCTGGTTAACTGTAAGGCAAAATCACCTCTATAATCCTAGTGTTTAATAATCAAAATCGACCCCTGTTTTAAATGGACGGGGAAAATATATATAATGTACCAATTGTAACCCAAAATGGCCTTTATAAACTTCTGCTTTAAAGGTGTAAATATTTCCACAATTCACTTGGCAAGGGAAATAACCAAACCGACCAATTTTATGCCAAAGTGGTCCTTATAACACATGTCATTAAGAATATAAATGTCCCCATATCTTACTCGGTGGGGAAGTAACAAGGCCGACCAATTTTACGCCTATGTGACCCTTATTTACCCGTGTGTAAAGGTCAAGATCTCTCCTTATTTAATAGTGGCGGGGAAGTTAATGATTTTCTGAAGACGAGATGATAATAATAATAATAATAATAATAATGCTAAAAATAACTAATAATAACTAATAATAATACAGCAATAAAGCCAAAAATATAATGGTCATATAAAATACATTAACAAATAAAAGACAAAGTGGAAGAAGGAGAAATCATTACTAGTATACAAAAGAGACAATAAATAATGGAAATACCAAAAAATAGACGAAGAATTAAGAAAAAAATCGGTGACTAGGAACAAAATCTGAGACACACACACACACGAACCAATTCTCTGTGTGTGTGTGTGTGTGTGTGTGGTGTTTTTGTCCAATCACACAGATATGTGTAATGCAGGCGCTTGGGTGTGGGTGTTGGAGGAGGAGGGGTGTGGGTAGGGGTGTGTTGAGGGGTAAGGTGTGTTGAGGGTGTGATAAGGAGGTGTTGGAGGGGTGAGGTGTTGGAGGGTGAGGGTGTGTTGGAGGGGTGGAGGGTGTTTTGGGAGGGTAGGGGTGTTGGAGGGTGAGGGTGTGTTGGAGGGTAGGGTATGAGGGTAGTGTGGTTGGAGGGGTAGAGTGTGTTGAAGGAGGAGGAAGGAGGGTAGAGTGTGGAGGGGTGAGGGTGTGTTGGAGGGTTAGGGTGTGTTGAAGGAGTGAGGGTGTGTGAGGGGTGAGGATGGGGGGTGTCCGTGACGTCCTTATGTCCGTGGTGTAAGATGAGGCCTCGGCTCTGGCTCATATTTTTATATTGATAGAAACTTTTTTATCGTGATGCCAAATGATGATTGGTCTCTCTCTCTCTCTCTCTCTCTCTCTCGCCGGCGATTTCTTAGGGAAGGGAATCGTGGCGGGGTTGGGTTGGGTTAGGTTAGGTTAGGTTAGGTTAGGTTAGGTTAGGTTAGGTTAGGTTTTTTGTTTTAATGATGAGCCATTTTGTTTTTGTTGTTCTTATTTGTTGTTGTAAAGTCATTAATGTGTTTGTTGTTGTTATTAATGTTTTTGTTTGTTTACCACAGGACAGCAAGATGGACTCGTTGGTGCAGCAGCTGGACCTCTACAGTAAACAGGGCATACCTCGACAACCTCACCTCCTGGCCTCACAGTCACCTGGTAATGACGATGGTGAGTTGTTCTTCTTGTTCTTCTTGTTCTTCTTTTTCTTCGTTTTCTTGTTGTTTTTGTTTTTCTTGTTCATCTTGTTGTTCTTGTTCATCTTGTTCTTATTTTTGTTGTTCTTGTTCTTCTTGTTCCTGTTCTTCTTGATCTTCTTGTTCTTCTACTTGTTCTTCTACTTCTTCTTCTTCTTCATTATTTGGCCACAGACACCCGTTGGTAATGGTAGAGTCTCTCTCTCTCTCTCTCTCTCTCTCTCTCTCTCTCTCTCTCTCTCTCTCTCTCTCTCTCTCTCTCTCTCTCTCTCTCTCCATTACACCACGCCACATAAAGGATAGTAATCATGGTGGGGGGGGAGGGGAAATATCTTCACTCAGGTAAATGGATTGACTGAGGTAGAAAATCTAATGTAAAAATAGAGAGAGAGAGAGAGAGAGAGAGAGAGAGAGAGAGAGAGAGAGAGAGATTGTTGAGTATGTCCAGAAGCACTTAATTGTGTACAGGTGTGTGTGTATTACTTAAATGTGTACAGGTGTGTGTGTATTACTTAAATGTGTACAGGTGTGTGTGTATTACTTAAATGTGTACAGGTGTGTGTGTGTATTACTTAAATGTGAACAGGTGTGTGTGGATCACTTAAATGTGTACAGGTGTGTGTGTATTACTTAAATGTGAACAGGTGTGTGTGGATTACTTAAATGTGTACAGGTGTGGAAGACAGGTGTGTCCTTTATATAATTTTTCTGTAGTTTTATAGAATTTAGTTATCACCGTTTTTTTAATTTTTCTATTTTTATCGTTCTTAAAACATATTCCTCTTTAGTCATTCTCTTATCATTATTGTCCTCTTTCCATTGTTCCTCTATTTTCCTCTGGTCTTTATTTACCATTTTCATTATTCTATCTCTATTTATCACTGCATTTGTTTTAATTCTCTTTCTCTTGTCCATGTTATTCTTGTTATTATTCTCTTCTTGATTGTCTCTTGCATTGTTGTTATGTCTGCTGTGTTTGTTTCCTCTGTGAGAGATATTGACTCAAGGAGAGACACTCAGGGGGGGGGTTGGGATACACTGGCCTGGTGTGCTCTTCAGTCAGGGTCTCTCCATGTTACTGGTGCCAAGTTAATCCTCCTTGTTTATCTTGCCTCTTGAGACGACCTTGTGTGTGTGTGTGTGTGTGTGTGTGTGTGTGTGTGTGTGTGTGTGTGTGTGTGTGTTACAAGTCAAGTTGTATTGCTGTTTCAGTCATGTTTGCTGGTGAATTGCAGACGTGTTGGGTGGTGTTTTGACATGTTTGGTCGTGTTTTACAGAGGTGGTGGTGGAGGACAGCTGGAGGACGTTGGTAGAGGGCCACGAACAGCTGGATGAACGACAGGAGCAACAGCAGAGTGCTATCTGGGAGCTGGTGGAGACGGAGGCCACTTACATCCACATGCTCAAAGTAATAACTGATGTGAGTACCCCCTGATATAAGACGTGTCTCCGTTTTCTTTTTCGTCTTCCCCAGTTATTTTATTTTTCGTGTTTAAACCTCGTCACTCCCTCTACAGAGTATTGACAGTCAGTGATGTCTGTCTGTCTGTCTGTGTTCCTTCCTGTCTGTCTGTCTGTCTGTCTGTCTGTCTGTCTGTCTGTCTGTCTGTCTGTCTGTCTGTCTGTCTGTGGCTTTACTTTTTCGTTTATTCACCTGTAGATTGAGTGGGAATGACGCAAACCTAACCCAACCTACAATGACAGGTGAAGGTGTGGGATCAGCATTAGGCCAGGTAAAGCTCACCTGGCGATGCACCACAATCAGCATGGTTACCGTAGCTCATTAAAACCAATGGTGCGTGAGTAACTAAACCCGCCGTGCTTACTCCATATCTCGTGTGAGCTTGGGGGGAGGGGGTGGTGTAGGTGGGTGTAGGTGTGTGTGTAGGTGGGGTGAATTGTGTGTAGGTGGGTGTAGGTGGGTGTAGGTGGGTGGGTGTGTAGGTGTGTGTAGGTGGGTGTAGGTGGGTGTAGGTGGGTGTAGGTGGGTGTAAGTTGGTGTAAGTGTGTGTAGGTGGGTGTAAGTGGGTGTAGGTGGGTGTAGGTGGGTGTAAGTGTGTGTAGGTGGGTGTAGGTGGGTGTTCAAGGGCCTACCTACGTTAGATGGGTGAGTGTACCTTTCTCAGGGACTTGAAGGGATCTACAGGGGGCTTATCTTCACAAGGACCTACTTAAGGGCTGAACCAAACCCTTAAGGAACTATTTAAGGGCTGGACCAACCCCTTAAGGGCTTTTTTAAGAGATAAACCTATTTAAGGGATGAACCAACCCCTTAAGGGCCTATTTAAGGGCTGGACCAACACCTTAAGGCGTGATCGACTGTATGAATGTCGGGGTCAAGGGGAGACGAGAGGAGAATACTCACCATGACGTTGAGAAGGAAATGGTGAGGCAGAGAGACAGGAAGAGAGACAGACAGGAAGAGAGACAGACAGGAAGAGAGAAATAGAGAGTGAAACAGAGAGACAGAAAGAGACAGGAAGAGAAAACAGGTCAGAGAAGCCAGATAGACAGACCGAAACACACACACACACACACACACATACACACACACACACACACACACACACACCATTACATGAAGACCCCAAATCAACAGTAAAAAAAAAAAGATTCTCGAGGATTTAATGTTGAACTTGACGAAAAAAAAACTTAATCGTGAAGAAAGGCAAAATCGTCCACCCTCTACCCCCCTCTCTGACCCCCTTCCTCCCCACCCCCCCACACCCTTCCCTCCCCCCTCCTCCCCCCACCCCTACACCCTCCTCCCCCTACTCCTCCCCCCCACCCCCACACCCTTCCTCCCCCCCCCCTCCTCCCCCCACCCCCACACCCTTCCTCCCCCTCCTCCCCACCCCCTCTCCCGATCCCTTCCTCCCCCACCCCCTCTCCTGATCCCTTCCTCCCCACCCCTACACCCTTCCTCCTCCCCACCCCCACACCCCTTCCTCCTCCTCCTCCCCACCCCTACACCCTTCCCCTCCTCCTCCCCCCACCCCTACACCCTTCCTCCCCCTCCTCCCCACCCCCACACCCTTCCTCCTCCCTCCTCCTCCCCACCCCCCCACACCCTTCCTCCCCCTCTCCTCCTCCCCACCCCCACACCCTTCCTCCCTCCTCCTCCCCACCCCTACACCCTTCCTCCCCCCCCCTCCCCCCACACCCTTCCTCCCTCCTCCTCCCCACCCCCCACACTCCTCCCTCCTCCCCCACCCCTACACCCTTCCCTCCCCACCCCCTACACCCCTTCCTCCCCACCCATTTCCTGAGTTGTACCTTGAGGCGCACTTGTCACTCTGAGTTGTACCTTGAGGCGCACCTGCCAATCTCCCTTGATATAAATTATGTTTCACAGTGAACATTTAATGGCGTTAATGATCTTCAGTCGGCGCCATTAATGACAGCAATCTACTAATGTGCCGTATATGTTAGACTATTAAAACCAAACTCAATAGAAAATCAATATTATTAAGGGATTTACTACATAATCGTTAAATAATGTGTTCCAGTTCACCTAACAGCGCTCGTGGTCTATTATACTGTACAGTATTACAGCGTCTATTGTTGTTGTTGTTGTTGTTGTTGTTGGAGCGCAAATATATTTAGATAATTAAAAACAAAACTAGAAAGTTATTAAATATTGATAGTGTGAGAGTAATTATTGTTATTGTTTGACGTCAGTAGTAAAGAGAATGGTTTGGTTAGGTCAGGTTCAGGTCAGGTCAGGTCAGGTTAGGTGAGAATTTTGTGACTGGAAATGAAAGTTACTGCCGGAATTATATAATATACAGGTTTGTTGCTCTGAATTCCTGTACGATAGTTTGGGCCCAACGACTGAATCTGTGAACCGCTGTCAGGACAAATAGAGTCTCAGTGTAATGTTGCTGCCATATTCCAAGTCTGTCATTAAACTTAAGTCTACGAGGTGGTCTGGGGTCAATGAAATCATCTGGCATTAACTACATAACTGACGCCCATTACTGAAGGGGTTAAGGTGAATTCTGTCCATTAATTACGAGATAAATCGCACCCACATTACGAGTCTTAGGGACACCACGTGACCGTAAGAGTTAAATCGGGTCATGTAATTTTTCTGGTGTTAGAGACGGTAGATATATTTCAGGTAACGGTAGATATATTTCAGGTAACGGTAGATATATTTCAGGGGTTCAGAGGCTGTCTTAAATATTCAACACTACAAACTAGGACCAGAATCTCAAAGCTTTCCTGGTGAACATTTCTCATAACGTCAAAGACTAACATTAAAATTACACAAACTATTCCTTAGGTGACAAATATTACCCTGGGATTACCTTAACACCATATAAAAGATAATATTAACTGATCTTCTAAACTGAGTCTTTTAATTTGGCCAGGTGTTAAGTGAACGTATCTAGTTAAGGTAGAGTCTCAGTGTACTGTGGCTAAGGTGGTATTTTTTAACTTGGGTATATTGTTACGCCTTCTGCTAAGAGGTTTATTGTCGTGAGAAGCCTGGAGGGTCTTTCTTGTAGTTCTCTCTCTCCCCCCCCCCATACAGCCTTAAGGAGTTCTCATCCACACACACACACCCCTGCCAGCTCACACACACACACACACACACACCCTGGCCATCTCACACACACACACACACACCCTACCAGCTCACACACACACACACCCTGCCATCTCACACACACACACACCCCGGCCATCTCACACACACACACACACACCCTGCCATCTCACACACACACCCTGCCATCTCACACACACCCTGCCATCTCACACACCCTGCCATCTCACACACCCTGCCATCTCACACACCCTGCCATACACACAGTACATGTACAATTACCCACAGAAGTCCGTTCCCCTCTCCTCCTGAACCACGAACCCCATGATTCAGACTCGTGAACCCGAAGCATTTACGGACAGAATAATGTATCAGTCTACTGGTTCGGGTTAACGAATCTGAATCCCTGGGTTCGTTGTTCAGGGGAGGAGAGGCAAACGGATTTACCTGTAGTAGTTGTACAAAACATCAGTTAGAGTACAGTACATGACGAAGGGAGTGTACAGCGAGCGTAGAGGTTAGGTTTGGTTGTGGTTAGGTTAGGTTTGGTTGTGGTTAGGTTAGGTTAGGTTAGGTTTGGTTGTGGTTAGGTTAGGTTAGGTTGTGTTGTGGTTTGGTGTTGACTGTGTGTGTTTGATTTTTGAGTGGAACAAACAATTTGGTAATTTGATCTTGCGTGAGAGTCAAGTTTTGTGATCTGGCTTTGATGTTTGCGAGAGAGGGAGGGAGGGGCAGGGAGGGGAGGGGGCAGGGAGGGAGGGGGAGGGAGGGGCAGGAGGGGGGAGGGGAGGGGGGGAGAGACAGGGTTTGATAGGAGACAAAGAGCCAAAGATAAAAAATATAGGTAATGAGAGAGAGAGAGAGAGAGAGAGAGAGAGAGAGAGAGAGAGAGAGAGAGAGAGAGAGAGAGAGAGAGAGAGAGACTGTGTCACCGAACCTAACCTAACCCAGCAGGCAAAATGTGTGCCGTCTTTAGGAAATTAACCGACCGAGAGCGAAGGCGTAAGTATTGTGTTGTGGACGTGAGGTGATGGTGTGTTGTTGTTACTTGTGAGAGGGAGGAGAGGGGTGAGAGGGAATGAGGGAGGGAGGGAGGTGGGGAGGGAGGGAGGTGTGGAGGGAGGGAGGTGGGGATGAATGAAAGGGAGAGAGAATCATTCATATTATCCCCGTGTTATACATCAACACTGTTTACATTCTCAAAACCATAAAAACTCTCTCCACTTTCGCGCCAAAATATTTCCCGCCAAAATATTTCCCGCCACCAAACTACAGGGCCACCCCCAAAAAAAATCCAGATATTAATATACATAACCTTTTAACACCTGGCCATTCGTTCTCGACGACCCTGTATATTTCTGTCATTATTTCTCCCAGCGATAACGTCATCTAAAGTGGCAACTCCAAGTGGCCATCACAATGAGATATTACCCCCTAAAGGGAATCTCTTATACGAGTTCGACTCGTTATGGCCCTTAGTCTTATCTTTCCGTTTCCCTGAGAATTTACCCGCTGGTGTGTGTGGCTACGTGCGTCCCAGTGGCTAAATATCAATATTCTACTAACTTAAACACGTACAACAATTTAGAGACATACAGATATACATACAGACAGACAATAACAATAGCATTAATCAATTACCAACACCTACCTACCTTAACTATCAGATGGCGTCCTGGGTCGTCTCAACAGCCACGGTGATTGGGTATAATACTTTACGATTGGGTCCTCTAGTGTCACATGGCTAAATTGTCGACTCAAGGACCAGGGTTCGAATCTAGCAGAGCGTATGGTTGTGTTTACGTTTCTTTATATCGGGGTTTTTACGTTTCATTATATCGGGGTTTTTACTTTTCTTTATATCGGGGTTTTTACTTTTCTTTATCTCGGGTTTATGTTTTTTCATATTGAGGTTTTTACGTTCATTATACCGGGGTTTGTTTACGTTTATTATATCGATACCCTTAAAATTACTCCCTTTAACTCCTACCCCCAGTGCCCTTAAAATCTCCCTTTAAATTCTAATCCCCCATCACCCTAAAATCTTCTAAATATTCTCCCTTTAAAATCCTAATCTTAAGATCTCACTCTGTGTGAGAGAGAGAGAGTCTTTGTGATGATGATGAAGGCAGTCTCTCTCTCTCTCTCTGTCTCTCTCAACAGGTCGCAGGTTCAGGAACACTTACCCCGCTAATGTTTCCCCGTCAGGAGGGCTCTGGTAAAGCCTTGAGCCCCACTACACGTGATTGGAAGGAAGAGAACGAGTGGCTAAGGCCAATTGGGTCGTTAGAGTTTTGTGCGTGAAGGAGTGTACCAGCGCCTGTGAGGTCTTGTTCCCAGTGTGGTGCTGTGTTTGAGGAGCACCTGTCTGAGGGGGTGTAGAGGTGAGGGTGTAGACGTGAGGGTGTAGACGTGAGGGTGTAGACGTGAGGGTGTAGAGGTGAGGGTGTAGAGGTGAGGGTGTAGACGTGAGGGTGTAGAGGTGAGGGTGTAGACGTGAGGGTGTAGTTGTGGGATAATCGAATTTTTTCCTCATTACGCCATTAAAGGTATATTATGGGCGATCGTTCGTCTGGCGTAGCGTATCCAAAAGTACTATTGGAGGATTTATATCAACATTGATGTTTTATTAACTAATTCTCCGTGATCCTGAAGTATTAAATGCCGAAAGCAGTTCAAAACGTCAAATATTATTCCAAGAATGCGAATTTAAGACTCACGACCAACAGTAAAATAAACCTCAGTATTTTACATAATTTTCTGGGAGTTTTTGTTTACTCGCCGCGCCAACAAGTGATATTCCTGCCTGCCTTCGTGATGTACAGTCAGAAGGTAAACAGTGTGGGATGGCACGATATGGTGCTGAATATGTACGACGAGGCAGTTCCAGTGAAGGTAGTGTTCTCCATCCATCCACACACACACACACTACTAATTTGCTGTCATTCGGAATCGAGTATGACGATCATCCAGCTATAATACAATGATACGAGTTATTAAGGATGTCACCTAGGTTGGTGAGTTCTGAGGTGACTAAACAGACCGATACGGGACCGGCAGAGTCGTTCACTGATGTTGCACGTGTAGAGGGCTACATCTAGTGTGGGAGGGGTGGCGGCAGCATCTTGCTGGCTTTGTCTGCCTCCATATGCAGTCGGGCTAACTCGAAAGTATTGACACCTGCCTAAGCAAGGTATTGGTGACAATGAGGTTGTGTGCAGCACACTTGCTGAGAAGGAGTAGGCCGTTGGGATTACACTTGCCTAGTCCATTTCCCCCTATGGTTCCCTGCCAAATGTCAGCATCTCTGCCAACTCTGGCATTGAAGTCACCAAGGAGCACAACCTTATCTTCTCTGGGGATAAAGGTTAGCACTCTGTCAAGGTCGGCATAAAAGGCCTCCTTGATGTCATCCTCTGCATCCAGTGTTCGGGTGTGTGCACTGATGAAGAAGGCATGACGTGAGTGATTCAGTGGAACTCAGAGCGTCATGAGGCGCTCGTTGATGCCAATAGGCATTTCAGTTAGCCTGTGTAGGATGCGTTGGCGGATGGCAAAGCCAACTCCATAAATGCGGTTTCTCTCTACAGCAGGCTTACCCTTCCAGAAGAAGGTATAGCCCGACCCCCGTTCTGTGAGTCGGCCCTCGTCTGGGAGGCGGGACTCACTAATGGCTGCTAGGTCGATGTTATACCTAGCCAGCTCTTTTGCCACAAGGACAGTTCTTTCAGGACGCTCATTTGTGCCAGTATCCAGAAGGGTCCTGACATTCCATACAGTGACCATAAGAGGTTGCATAGTCTGTTTTTGCTTTTACCTGCGATTGTGTTTTCGACCGCATAAAGATTACCTTACTGGGTGCGGTTGCCCAGTCAGGTTGGTTCTTTAGTCAGGCTATGTTTAGGGCACCTTTTCTAGCCCTCCTTGCCATGTGGGGTGAGCAGAGTGGCTTCTCGAAAGGGCTGCTCAATCACACAGACAGGACCGGATTGCACTGCTGCCTAGATCACACACACACACACACACACACACACACCTACACTATAATATTAATACCTGCATCTTGTTTCACGCATATAGAAGATTTCTGGTAGTTGTGGTATAATATAATATATGGTCTATTGTACGGTGCCAGAGTCCTGCTAGATGATACGATATTAGACACAGACAGACAGACAGAAAGATGTTTAGTTAGTAAAATCGTCATACAAGTTTATACTGATTCAGCATGTACAGGTATATAGACAGTGTGGGTATATGAACAATGTAGTCAACATATTAATTTTCTGCACCTTTATAGTGATATACAATATGACACACCGGACCAAGAATTCTGAACAACACTCATTTACGCGGGTGATTCCTGTTAATTTCTCTGTATTAACTATATGTGATATAAACAATACCTCCTACTGGTTATACAATGCATCACACAACCAGAAATACCATGGCCTCAGTCTGTGATCGTTGCAGAGGCCACCAGACCAAGGGGGTGCAGAAATTTTTGGGGCTGACTGTACCTAGACAGTGCAGGTATATAAACAATGTACCTAGACAGTGCAGGTATACAAACAATGTACCTAGACAGTGCAGGTATACAAACAATGTACCTAGACAGTGCAGGTATACAAACAATGGTAAACAATATGTCGATTCGGCAAAGGATAATTGACAGTCATTATATTTTATTCCCTGCTTATTATTATTGTTATTATTATTTTATTACTATTATTATTGACGGGATTTTGTGAGTACAGCAGCCTGTGTGTTTGTCTGTCAGTGTACATAAGACCTTCCGTGACCTAACCTAACCTTCCGTGACCTAACCTCACCTTTGTGTCATATAAACTTATTCATCGTGGTAGAAACGTAAGCCTGCCTTTGTCTTCGAGTCCAAAAAGGTCGAAATCTTCAAGAAAAAAGGTCAAAGGTCATGATGTCAGTTGAGTTTGCATCCTCCTCGAGTACAAATCAAGCCAGGTCACCCTCACCTTCAAGTAGTAACTCAGGAGAATTTATGCGTGAAGTTTGAGCAGTTCCTCGACTTCTTGACTCAGTTGGGTAGTTTTTAAAGGCAAAATTGGGGAAATAATCTTGCCTGTTGTGATGTTTTTATGACTGAGAAGGAGGGGCCTCAGGCGACAGGAAGTGACAGTGTGTTGGGAAGGTTATATGAAAGAAAGACAGTAACTAACTGTCCATCCGCGAAGTTGGTTATAAGACATCACATAAACAAGAGTGTTACCCCGGAAGACAGACAGACAGACAGACAGACAGACAGACAGACCGACAGACAGACCGACAGACAGACAGACAGACAGACCGACAGACAGACCGACAGACACTAGGTAGCGTGACACCGTGCCCTCTATCAACACTGAAAGTTACTGAGAAATATCGAGTATAAACCATTTTACGATTGGGGTAGAGTGATAAATATTGCAGTTACGACTTCGTGTGAAAAATATTATAATGAATATTGAAATTCCGACTTTATGACTGCTAAATATGGCGTAAAATACTGAAACTTATGCTTGAAAAATATTACTGGTATTGAAATTATTTTGGAATTTATAGATGAAAAATATTAACTAAAAAATCACTCGCTCTAACACACACACACACACACACACACACACACACACACACACACACACACACTCACTCACTCACTCACTCACTCTCTCTCTTGTCCACAGCTGTTCTTGGCGTGTCTGTGCAACCTCCAGAATGAGTCGCTCCTATACGAGGTGGATACAGACAAACTCTTCAGTAACATCCAAGAGATCTACTGCGCCAACCTCACCTTCTGGAGGGAACACGTCGTCAGGATGTTGGAGGCTTCTAGGTCCTCTCGCCAGCCCCTAGACCCCACCCTGCTGACAGATGCCTTCTATAAAGTGAGTCTTATTTATGTGACGGTCTTGTCAGTAGAGAGTTCTTTAAGAGGTAGCCCTTACTTATTCGCCACCCCTTATTGACATCACCTCCTCATTGACATCACCTCCTCATTGACGTCACCACCTCATTGACGTCACCACCCCTATTGACACCACCTCCTCATTGACATCACCCCCCATTGACATCACCTCTCCATTGACATCACCTCCCCATTGACATCACCTCCCCATTGACATCACCTCCCCATTGACATCACCTCCTCATTGACGTCACCACCCCTAATTGACGTCACCACCTTTTCAGTAACTCAAAAACGATATCAGTCTCCGGAGTTTATGTTAGTTATGTTGGATAATTTCACGCCTTATCCTCCTGTGATGTGGGGCGTAAGATGAAGTCCTTTGAGAGAGAGCGAGAGAGAGAGAGAGATTATGCATATGTTCTCTCTCTCTCTCTCTCTCTCTCTCTCTCTCTCTCTCTCTCAGTTTTTGTCTTCTCCGTTCGTTTGAGATCTTAGTAATACTGTAAACTAATTCTCCTGTCTCTCCCGTCCAGTTCGACGAGTTGTTCCACCCGTACACTCGCTACTGTCTGGAACAAAGCAACTGTCAACTGTACTGCAAAGAAAAAGATCACGACAACGAACACTTCAAAATGTACCTGGCTGTAAGTCGACTCTCTCTCTCTCTCTATCCACTGTTGACTTTATAGTTAATAATAATAATAAAGTTCATAGCTCTATCTTGTCCCCCAGGTGTATTGTTTTGTTGCTGTAAAGTCGTTTATCATATAGCCATTCATGCTGATTGAAAGTCATCTGGGAAATTCTTCACTCAGTTCCTCTCTGGGTTGATTAATGTATCCATAGCTCTATCTTGCCCCCAGAGTTTTGTTATTATGCTCTTAAGGGCGTTTATCCTATTTCTATTAAGTTAAATTTGGAGTTAATGTTTTTTGGGATGTATTACAATATGTTTCTCGCTGTCACTCACGCCATATTGGACGTAGTTGAAGAATTGGTATTTAAAATAACTAGTGTTTGGTTATATTTATCGTTATTAGTGTTGTTGATGTTGTTGCAAATGATCTTATTTTTAACGCTATGTGTTAGGTGTGTAAACTCGTCCAAGACAGGTTAATTAACAGGTAAAGTAATTAAGTGTTTAAGTAGGTCAGAGGGTGTCACCTGGTTGGGTATTGGACGACCTAGTTTAATTCGCCTGATGATTGAACACCCACACGCTACCGGGGATTAGGTTAAAGTAAGTGAGGTTAAATTAGGTTAGGTTAGTTTATAGTATATTAGGTTAAGTTGGATTTGGTTAGGTTAGGTTAGGTTAGTTTATAGTATATTAGGTTAAGTTGGATTTGGTTAGGTTAGGTTATCATTAAGATGTTTAATTATCAAGTGAAATAAGCTGAGGTGTCTAATGTTCACGTGTTCTGTTGATAGTTTAAATCTGTTATCATTACAGCATCTCTCTATCATAACAAGTCACTGTACCTTTTTTTTATGTAGGTTTAAACCCTTTTGTAATTACTGTACTTCAAGACGTAGCTTCCTGTAGTGACTTATAAATTTGTTTCTTAACTGTAGTTGTTGAAAGTTACATTGTAATTACTCCAGACTCTACCTTGCTGTTACGTCTCTTAATAACACACTGCTGGAGCTAAAGTTCATATCTCTCGGTGTTCTGCATCATTAGTAGGTGAGGCTGTGAGGGGTATTATTTTTTACTGTGACTTAACACGTTTGTAAAAGTTTAGGCAGGACCCCCCTCCCCGTCTTACGATCTGGGTGGGTGGCAGAAGTGAGGCTCCCAATGGGGCTCCCTTGGGGGGGGTCCATTTTGCCCCGGGGGTGGATAAAGAAACGATCGTATGTGTGTTATCAAGCCTCGTGCAAGTGCTCCTGCATTACACTTTGCAACAGAAAGTTGTAGCGTGACAGAAGACTGGAGTCCTGGTTTAACTGTGCAGGTCCTTGCACCAGACTTGCGGAATAAAATAATAACGGGAGTAACTAAAAGAGCCAGAGTTTATTTGGTAAGTTTGTTGATACTGACAACAAACTACAAATACAGAATCATTAATAGTTGAGGTAATGGTGCCAAACGAGGGCGGACAGAGCGTGAAATCAATACACTGTCAGTGAGATAAAGAATAGCTCCCACATGTGCAGACGATCCTCGAAAAAAACGTTGAATCATCAATGGTGGAAAAATGATCTGAAATATTGAGTTACCACAATAACATTAGCAGAGTGCTGTACACAGGAGGCCTTGCTTCCCGCAGCTGTGTGATCTGTCACATGTTTTATTACATCCGCATTTCGCGAGCTCTTGGCACACCATGAATTGCGTACTTGGCATGTTGGGTCATGGACAGACTCCATACACCTGCCTGGTACACCGCTCTCCAGTAGACCAGTCCCTCGGAATTCTCACCTTTGACCCCACCTTCAGGCGGCTGCCCTGCCCACTGTCGCCCCGAGTCCCTCTTTTAATGGAAAGCTTACGTTACATGTCCCAGATGATGTTAAACTGTGGCACTTTTCTCAGCTCTGACTGAAGGTGTTTGAAGAGACTCCTTTGGCTGAATTCGTTAGGGAGTTTCCGTTGTCCCTGCCCTCCCCCCCTTTGATCTGGAAGGGTGAAAATAGTGAAACTCCTTTGGGATCCATTACCAAAGGAGGAATAAAAACGTTACCATAATATTTTATACGGCTTTGTATTGATTCACAACCAGTCATAGATGATCGGTCAAATATTGAACCCAATGAAAGGATAAAAAAAACATAAGACGGCCGCCCTACACCAGCTATTGGAGGAAACAGTCTGCCCATTCATAAGTGTTTTGATCATGGAGATCCAACAAGAAACTGGGGAGATATAACTACAGTGCTTCTTTATCTGCTTCTCTCTCCAGGGGGTGAACCCACCATTGGACTCTCACTTCTGCCGCCCTCCAGATCGATTTTCGGGGGATCCAAGAAACAAGAGTAATTCCTTCATTAGACTTTTAGAAACGTAGTAAACCAAGTCCCACCTTCTGTATATGTCATCTCGGGGTCAATAACACTATATCTCTGCTTTATATTGCAACCTTACGTCAGGTTCACTAAATATTAATTCCAGACGAGATCCTACATTAAAGGAATCGTATTCAACTTTGTAACTAAGATTCCAACATTAAATAAATATAAACACCATAATTGACCTGCCGATTAAGCTCCGCCCACATTATTAGTAACCAGTCACCAATCACCTTCAATTCAATTTCAATTTCAATTGTTTATTCCTTGATAGAGGAAGCGGGATCCTAGTGCTGTCACTAGGTACCCCTGTACAATGACGCCAGAAGCATCTGGCAAGCGTAACAAGTATATACAGTATAAATATTATAAAGGGGCTTACTAAAGCCTTAGGAAGGAAGGAAGGATATTCCTTTAACACATAATCAATGTTATTTACAAAATATCTGGCCAGTATGGGGAGGATCATCGTGTCTCCGTCAGGGGGTCATGGAGTGGTGGTCCAGCAGGCGTCACAGAAGCGTTGTGTGTGGGGACAATCACCTTCCCTGAATTATTGCCACCGTTGCTAGGGACGCTATAGAGGGCGGCGCTTTGTAGTGTGGGTACAAAACATGTGAAACTCGACTCAGTTGGCCCTTGTTATGGCCTCGTCTGTGACTATAACTTGAGGTGGAGGTGATAGGGAACACTGCAATGCGGAGTATACTCGGCGGTATATGCGTGTTGGTATATCACATATATATAAGATAGACCCTTGTTTGTAGGTGAGGGACGATATGATTATTACATATACTACTGTGTCCGTATGTCTTATTTGGACACTAATAAGATTTGTTCATCAGCCGCAGCTTATTTCACGCGCTGCTAGGAGGGGTTAGGTTAGGTTAGTATTAGATTAGATTAGCGTTGGGTTAGTTTAGTTTACCTTAAGTTAGAGTATCGTTAGATAAGGCAAGGTTAGCATTAGGTTAGGCTAGATTAACATTAGCTAAGGTAGGATAGATTAGCGTTAGGGTGTTTGATCCTCAGGTGAAATAAACTGGAGGGAGGGGGGGGGGTGCTGCAGGTGATCCTAACGAGGTGTTGCTTGTTACAGTGGTGTGAGACGCAGAAGGAGTGTAACAGACTGCGATTGGTGGACATCCTCGTTCAGCCAATGCAACGCCTTACCAAGTACTCACTGCTACTCAAAGCCATCCTCAAGAAGACTAACCTGGAGGACCACAAGTTGTGCCTTCACAATATGGTGAGTCGAGTTATAACTTCATGACTGTCAGGTATTACTATTATTATTATCATTTATCATCATTACTACTACCACCTTCATTATCATCATCATTATTACCACTACCACCTTCATTATCATCATCATCATTATTACCACTACCACCTTCATTATCATCATCATCATTACCATCGTACTCTCTCTCTCTCTCTCTCATTAACTTTGGGCCCGGAGGAGGTAGGAGAAGAGAGAGAGGGATACTAATGGAATATGTCTGTCGGTCTGTCTTCCTCACCTACAAGGGAACAGGAAGAGTCATTAGGGGTTGATATTAAGGACCAAAGGAGAGCAATTAGGGCGTAAAGGAAACAGAAGGTCCGTAGCATCAAACAATAGTCCCCCCACTACCACTACCCCCCCTACCACCACCACCTCCCCCCCCTACCACCACCGCTAAGACAACCAGTCATTTAAAGGTCTGGAAGAATACTTTAACGTGACGGAATGCTCTTAAGCCATACCGATTCCTGTACAGCTAATTTCTCCTTAGGTGAAATCGCTTCCCTGTAAGTGGTGGCGGTGGTGGTGGGGGTTAGGGAGGGGGCTAGCAGTTTCTATTTTTTGCAATAATCACTTCAACTTGGACATTCTGGGAAAATTTCAAGTTCCTTTATACATAGTCCACTGGGTTTGCTTTGTGATTTACTGTACCCAAACGCTCTTACTTTCTGCTAAGTATTTTCTTCTTCATCCTAAAGTAGTGCAATTACTGTGTTTCTCGATGCTGTAGATTTAACCTGTACCTGTAGATTTAACCTTTACCTGTAAATTTAACCTGTACCTGTAAATTTAACCTGTACCTGTAGATTTAACCTGTACCTGTAGATTTAACCTGTATCTGTAGATTTAACCTGTACCTGTAGATTTAACCTGTACCTGTAGATTTAACCTTTACCTGTAGATTTAACCTTTACCTGTAATTTAACCTGTACCTGTAGATTTAACCTGTACCTGTAGATTTAACCTGTAGCTGTAGATTTAACCTGTACCTGTAGATTTAACCTATACCTGTAGATTTAACCTGTACCTGTAGATTTAACCTGTAGCTGTAGATTTAACCTGTACCTGTAGATTTAACCTTTACCTGTAGATTTAACCTTTACCTGTAGATTTAACCTGTACCTGTAGATTTAACCTTTACCTGTAGATTTAACCTGTACCTGTAGATTTAACCTTTACCTGTAGATTTAACCTTTACCTGTAGATTTAACCTGTACCTGTAGATTTAACCTTTACCTGTAGATTTAACCTGTACCTGTAGATTTAACCTGTACCTGTAGATTTAACCTGTACCTGTAGATTTAACCTTTACCTGTAGATTTAACCTTTACCTGTAGATTTTTAACCTGTACCTGTAGATTTAACCTGTACTGTAGATTTAACCTGTACCTGTAGATTTAACCTTTACCTGTAGATTTAACCTGTACCTGTAGATTTAACCTGTAGCCTGTAGATTTAACCTGTACCTGTAGATTTAACCTTTACCTGTAGATTTAACCTTTACCTGTAGATTTAACCTGTACCTGTAGATTTAACCTTTACCTGTAGATTTAACCTGTACCTGTAGATTTAACCTTTACCTGTAGATTTAACCTTTACCTGTAGATTTAACCTGTACCTGTAGATTTAACCTTTACCTGTAGATTTAACCTGTACCTGTAGATTTAACCTGTACCTGTAGATTTAACCTGTACCTGTAGATTTAACCTTTACCTGTAGATTTAACCTTTACCTGTAGATTTAACCTTTACCTGTAGATTTAACCTGTACCTGTAGATTTAACCTTTACCTGTAGATTTAACCTGTACCTGTAGATTTAACCTTTACCTGTAGATTTAACCTGTACCTGTAGATTTAACCTTTACCTGTAATTTAACCTATACCTGCAGATTTAACCTGTACCTGCAGATTTAACCTATACCTGCAGATTTAACCTGTACCTGTAGATTTACCTCACCTGCACTCTAACCTTACCTGTAATTTTAAATCCCATACCTGCAGATTTAACCTTTACCTGTAATTTCTGAATCCCCATACCTGTAGATTTAACCTGTACCTGCAGGATTTAAACTCATACCTGTAGATTTAACCTGTACCTGTAGATTTAACTCTATACCTGTAGATTTAACTCTGGTACCTGCAGATTTAATCCTTTACCTGTGATTTAACTCTGTACCTGTAGATTTAACCTATACCTGTAGATTTAACCTGTACCTGTAGATTTAACCTGTACCTGTAGATTTAACCTTTACCTGTAGATTTAACCTGTACCTGTAGATTTAACCTGTACCTGTAGATTTAACCTTTACCTGTAGATTTAACCTTTACCTGTAGATTATATCCCTCTCCACCATTGCCTGTCTTTCTCCATTCAATCTTCCTCTCCTTTCCTCCCTCTTCATTTCTCCCACTCCACACCACCTCCTCTCACCCAGCCTCCCACTCCACACCCAGCCTCACTCCCACTCCTCCACCTTCACACCCAGCCTCCCACTCACTCCCCCACCTTCACACCCAGCCTCCCACTCCTCCCCACCTTCACACCAGCCTCACTCCCTCCTCCACCTTCACCCCAGCCTCCCACCCTCCCCCACCTTCACACCCAGCCTCCCACTCACCCACCACCTTCCCACACCCAGCCTCCCCCACTCCACCTTCACCCAGCCTCACTCCACTCCTCCACCTTCACACCCAGCCTCCCACTCCCACTCCCCACCTTCACACCCAACCTCCCACTCCCTCCCCCCACACCCAGCCTCCCACTCCACTCCCACCCCTTCACCCAGCCTCCCACTCACTCCCCCACCTTCACCCAGCCTCCCACTCCTCCCCCCCTTCACCCAGCTCCCCTCCTCCCCCACCTTCACACCCAGCCTCCCCTCCTCCCCCACCTTCACCACCCCCCTCCTCCCACCACCTTCACCCACCCTCCCTCCTCCCCCCACCTTCACCCAGCCTCCCACTCACTCCCCACCTTCACACACCCAGCCTCCCTCACTCCACCACCTTCACACCCAGCCTCCCCACTCACCTCCCCCACCTTCACACCCAGCCTCCCACTCCTCCACCACCTTCACACCCAGCCTCCCACTCACTCCCCCACCTTCACACCCAGCCTCCCACTCACTCCACCACCTTCACAGCCTCCCTCCCTCCCACCACCTTCACCCCACCTCCCTCCACCCCCACCTTCACCCAGCCTCCTCCCCCACCTTCACACCCAACTCCACCCACTCCCCCACCTTCACACCCAGCCTCCTCACTCCACCTCACACCAGCCTCCCACTCACCCACCTCACACCCAGCCTCCCACTCACTCCACCACCTTCACACCCAGCCTCCCACCCACTTCCCACCTTCACACCCAGCCTCCCACTCACTCCACCACCTTCACACCCAGCCTCCCACTCACTCCCCCACCTTCACACCCTCCCACTCACTCTACCTAACAAAAAACTTCTGAAGATGAAGAAAAATGCCCAGGGGACAGTAAAAAAAAAAGAGGTCTTCTATGTTAAGATTTAAAAGGGAAAAACAGACAAAAGTCGAGCTATTTAGAATATTACTTCCCCGTGGCTCCAGTAAGGCTCAGTGAGACTCCAGTGGCTCGCTCTAAATTCTTACTGACTAACTGATGGTGTTTTTTTTTGTGTGGTGTTAGGTTTTGGGGGTCACTCGAAGATTAAACACACCCAATTTATTTCCCCTGATTATTAAAGACCCTATTCAAACACCCTCCCCCCCGCCGCAGTGTTTATATATATGATACTCAGGATAAAATAAGTTGAATAGGGGGGTGAGGGGGGTCTATTCCTCACATAATCCAAATGTTTTTGTGTTTTTATTGGTGTGGTAAATGTTTGTCAACGGAGCTGCTGTAACCTCACAAAATAAGACTCTCCCACCACCTGTTATGACGCAGTGAAGCTTCTCTCTCATTTTCTCTCTGTCTTTCTTTATTTCTCTCTCCCTTTCTCCTCTTTTTTTCATACAATCTCCCTCTCGCACACTTTCTCACATACACTCTCCTTTTCATGACTCCCTCAAGACATTTATAATAAGCTAATGAGTGTGTCATCACCCTCAGATCACCCACGTGGAGAACTTCGTGTCCAACGTGAACTCCGCCTTGAGACACAAACACGAACAGGAGAGACTCAGGGACATTGCCAGAAGGATCGAGGCTTATGAGGCTGTGGTGAGTACTGTGTGTTGTGGTGGTGGTGGATACTGTGTGTTGTGGTGGGTACTGTGTGTTGTGGTGGTGGGTACTGTGTGTTGTGGTGGGTACTGTGTGTCGTGTTTTTCTTGGATCTTTTTTTCTTATTTTGTTCTATGTTCATTAATATTCTTTCTAACAATCAAGGATGTTCTCCAGTAGATTGTCATCAAATATCACCTATAATCAGTCACTCAGTCATCCTCTGCAACGTGATCTCGTATTTCCCCCATCATAAATCACCTACGAATGCCACTGTATTTCCCACCATCCACAGTCCATCATCTTTGTCCTGGAGGGAAATGTGACAAAAATCTCCTAATTGAATAATATTTCCACTACATACCAGAGAGGAAATTTCTCTCCAATGCTGACTCATCAGATCTTTCCATGACATTTTACACCGAGCAAAAATTTCCTCATGTTAACTGACTGAAGTGTGGTACTCCATTAAATGTGAAAATTTAATAGACAAGTTCTCCCCTAATGATGATTTTGCGTGGAAGGACGAAGGGGGAGGGGGGTGTCCTTTTGGGGTGGGTTTTTTAGGGATAAAGACCAACTGACTTTTTATTCACTGATGCTGGTCTGTCTCTTTCTGTCAGTGTGTGTCTCTCCTTTTTCCTATGCTCGGTATAAACCTTGTTGTGGGTTCAACAGGAGACCCGGGATGATGAGCTGGAGCGTATAGTGAGGAACTACTCAGACCTCAACCTGACCCAGCCTATGCCTGGGTGTCCAGAGCACATGCCCAGACACCTCCTGCACCATGGTGACCTCCGATTCAGGGACTCCCACACCTCCAAGATGGATGTCCATGTGTTCCTCTTCACTGACCTCCTCCTCATCACCAAGGTCACCCAGAGGAAAGCTGAGAAAGTCAAGGTCAGTGTGGCCATATATTTTACAGAATTCCTGTGTACTGTAAAATAATAATTAAATTTTATATACTTACACTATAAGAAGTTCTATTTAACCAGCCAGTGCGCTTCACTCTTAACTAAATGGGACATTTTTCACACAAGGAATGTTCTTTGAGTTTTGGCCATCTTTATTATTTCTTTAAAAGTACAGGTAGAGTACAGTCCTAAAAATGGCCACTTGTTCTGTATTAATATTAGACATCTATAATTATCATTACTGTACTGTTATTATAGAGCCTTAAAACTGTACTACTGTAACTTGCTTCTCATAAAAAGTTGATAATTATACAGTGTCAAGTTTTGAAAGTTTTTCAATTAAGGTGATTCATTATTTTAACAATCAAGTGAATCTGTTTATGTGAGGGAACTGATGACTTGTTCATTGTTAAAGTTGATTATGTTTTAATAGTTAACACAGTTTGTATTGTACAGTACTGCTTAAGACAGTTGTGGTCACATGTCAGCCATACAAGAACACTCAACTTTTCTTCTTTTAATGATTTTTACAGAGTTCTTTTGTCTATAAGCATCAATTACTCTTATCTGATGTTTTCACTCTGTACAATCATTAACCGAACCTAAAGAATAAATTTCCAAACTGGAACTGCTGTACATGTAGACTTATGTCAGCATAATACAAAGCTCAGTACAGTATATATGTCGTGTCGTCAGATTGTGCGTCCACCATACCACGTAGAGCGGCTGGTGTTGGTCGACCTGAAGGACAGCACATCTATCGGTCTCGTCGTCATCAATGAGTGGAATGTTGCTGTGGCTGCCTTCACCCTACAGTGTCCGGACTCACGTACACACAGGTCACTCAACCAACACAACACATTATAATTATTGTTGTTGTATTTGGTCTCTAGTTTTTAGAATTTGTTTTTCCAAGTTTACTTTTTCTTTCTAAATGAAATGTACAGTTAATGAAAGTGTGATTGTTTGCCCATTAAGTTTTTATCAATGTTTGTGGTCTCTTTATTTATTTTTTTCATCTTATTGTCATGTGAACTGTGGGTTACTATGTCTTACAGTGGCAGATCCGGGAGTTTTCTAAGGGTAAATGAAGCAAAGACTAAATTATTTCCCCCCCAAATACTTACTTTTTTTACTTAATTTTTGTTTTCAGTAAGTGTGAGGGAGGGGGGTAAGGTGGGCTAGAAAAGATGACATGGTTTGGTGAGAGTTAATGGTTATAATGATGATCATATATTATACAGTAGAGTACAGAGATGTGTAAAGGTCTATATAGTACCCCTGTTTAGGCAAATTTCCCCAAATACTGTAAACTACACAGTACAATATAGTACATTTTACTACTATGTCTACTGTACATTTTGCTCTTACATTTTTTCTTACATAATTCAGTCTAGAAACTAATTGAATATATTGTTTCAGTGGAGGTTACAAAATACTGATGTTGTCATTTGTTTTCCCTCCAGAACGTGGCATGACACACTCAAAAGAGCAAAAGAGCAATACAAGGAGGCGCAGCAAGCACAGGATGTGATGGTATATGATGAGATGACATGTGTGGGTCACCTAGTACCTCGTTCACCTCGCCCTGGCTCATCCAGAGCTTCACGGGTCTCCAGTCTTGTACATTCTCACTCTGGTTCTATAGATCTAAATGAATCCTCTCCAGCTACTCAACATCACCCTAGTATTGACATGAGTGATGTGAGAGCATCTAGTGCCTCCAGCGATGATTCTGTTGCCCAGCCTGCTGCAGAGATCCAAAGGTCGCGATCGCTGGAAGGTGGCGGTTGCGGTGCTATATCCCCTCGTCCTGACCGCCGCCCTGGCTACCCCAAGACTCCCAATACCTTAAGTGTCATACCACCCTATTCTACTGGACAGTCTCTTCCAAACCTCACTGTCGAGTCGGCCAATTCCCTTCGTGTGCCTGGCACCAATGGTAGCAACCCAAAAGCTCTGTCCCCCTGCACTAGAGGAGTGTCCTACCCACCGCCCTCACCACGCACACTTCGTCGGTCAGCCCCAGTGCCACAGTCTCGCAACCCACCGTTAACCAAGGCCCGCCACGTAACCTCCATGATTGGGTCTCCACAGGATGTGGACCAAGGCGAACAGGACGATGCAACGAGAGGCCAGCGTCGTACATATCGCATCGACAGGATGGATAACCGCCGCTACCATACTGCCGGGGCCATCGATGATATCAAGGTATAAAATGACTTGGTTTACTGACTTAAACTGCAATATTATGAGCTTTATTATAAAGTTGGTGTCACTAATCTCTCCTGAACAGTCCATTTACAGTAGGCTCTCGATTAGCCGGATATCAAATAACCGGAAATATCAATTATTCGCAGTTTTGGCAATCCCAGCACTATCCACAATTTTGTCAACTTTTGACAGCCCAAAATAACTTATCCGCTGCACACACCCGTCGAACATCTACGAAATGGAGTGAAGTTGATTGCGGCCAATCATGTGAGGTGTTTCAAACCAGGCGTGTCAACTCAGCCAATCAACAACGAGATGTGATACGGTGGGGTGCGTCTCATTGTGCGCCTCCTGTCCTGGCAATATGTACCGCGAGTCAGTACAGTAGACCGTCCTGCTTTTGTACAACTTGGGACATTTTACGAAAAGTAGAAATGTAGAATCAACTTCATTCAAAAATACAAAATTTTTAATATGAATGAAGATACAGTTGTACCTGCATATTAAACCAACTGATGAGAGCGTTGATGAGGGCACTTACCTGACTGTGACCTTAGCTAACCCCATGTTATTGTATATGTTTCAGGTCACTATCTGACTGTGACCTGAGCCTTCCCATGTTACCTCACTTCTGGTACTGTCCTTGTATAAGTGTGCATGTGTGTTACTTGTATCTGCACTATTGTAAGAAAAATTGAGGAAATTTCATGAACACACAGTTAAAAGGCTTATGGTTTTTCATGAGGATAGCCAACGTGTTTCAAGTGCCACCCTGGCTTTCAAAAAATAAAAATAAAAAATCTGCCAATGGCCGAGAACGTGATGCTTACCATGGAGATTTCCTGAAGGATGTAAACACACCTTAACCTCTCTTCTGAACATATGTATAATGCTGATGAAGGAGTTATGGCGATGTATATCAAAGTGAATGCACGATGGTGGGACAAAGGCTTCCATATTCAGATTTTAAGCGGAAAGACGATGGATTATCTTCATAATTTGTGTGTACATTGTGGGAACGTACCGGCTCTGGCTTCTCGTTATCGGCTGGGCCCTCAGATCCCACACAATATATAAAACTGCTTCCCGTGCATTATAGAGCCACAAAAGATGACTTGGATAACTCGAGAAATTTTCCAGGAATGGTTTGTTGAGAAGTGTTATATAGAAGGTGAAGGACCATCTCAAGATGCAGTAATGAGTGCAACTGGTATTTTATGTGTTGTGTTTAGACTCGTATTTCTGGTAGACCATTACGTGGCGTGAGTTACCTGCAAACACTGATTATCTGTAGAAGGTCTGCCTCCAACCTCTGTGGGTAATGGAGAGTCTACTGTACCCACACACCCTACATTGTACAGAACTTTTGTGTCAAGTCTTATAGTGCATGTACAGCATAACATATGATGAGTGAGATGATTCTGTAGATGATTTATTATTGATGGTGAAGGAGATCATAATAATCTTTATTTAAAATATTCTCCATGAGTTCTTGAATTAGCAAAATAACAAAGAAAAGATAAGAAATTAATACTAAAGTCCTCTATTAGTGCATATTTCTATATTCATTGTTACATAGAATTACAGAAACATTAATCAATACTTTTCAGACTTTATTAGAGAATGGTTCCTTGTTAATCGGTAAAAGTTGTTTATGATGATCACTTATGTGTCGTCTTCCATAAACTCAAACTAAATAATACTGTAATTTATTACTTACTCCAACATTTTTAATTTTTTTCACTCGCAGAAACAAGATGCTAAGGATGCCACTATCCATAAGCGTCTGTCCTGGAACTATGGGCAGGGGCCTCCACCAACCCGGGACCTTGGGAATGATCAAGGGAAATTAGGTTGTCATAAACACGCTGTCAAGAACGTCTCGTGCGAGTCTGTACACAGCTCCTCGGGGGTTTCCTCGACCTCGTCTCTTCATCGTTCTATGGGATCTGAAGTAGAGGCACTGGAGAATATTGATGATAATGAACTCGAAGGCAAGATGATACACTTCTGAAATATTGACTGGAAAATACACTGAAAATGTTTTACTGTTTGATGCTTGAAGTTGACGATCTATTACACTGCAATATATATTACTTTGTTTTCTGCTATTGAAAATATATAAAATTGAAATGGACAACAGTTGATGGTAGACCTATAGTACACTGGACTCATAATGTATTCTAACTAACTCTTGACCTGCCAGCAGATGCGGAGGCCACCGTGGTAGACCTAACAGTGAGTGATTGTACCAGCCTAAAAATATCTCCACACATCTCTACAACGTATATCTGCCACGACTCTGACATCACTCTTGGTGTATGCTCACAGTATATTACTCAACCAAATAGTTCTCTTGAGGTAAGCCCAGTATAGTATGCATGGGAAAAAATAAAATACAGTTCAGTACTTTCACATATTACACAGCTTCTTGAGACATTACACTTTATCACATTTCCAGCACTACAAATATTTAACCTAACCAGACACATTTGTTAAAAAGTCTACTTGTTTTTCAATGATGTATAAATGTCTACTTAAGTGGTGGTATCTACTGCTTCATGTTCAAAGGGTTTAAACATAAAAGAAAATCAAAGTAGAGTCTGATCAACATCATAAAAGCTAAATAGTTTGCCTAAACCCAAAACTGAAGCCATAATATTTTCCCCCCAAAATTCTCAACCAATCAATCAGGTCTTTCGTTTTGCTATTTCTACTGGGGGAATCTTTTGTATTCAAGAACCTTAAATAATTCCTATACACTAAAAACTAGATCAGTTAAGAACCTAATATTTTGCATATATGTCGCCTAATGTTGCAGAAAGATGGGACGTGATCCTGAGTATTATCACGTGACCCGTAAGTGGCATTTAACTGTTTTCACTAAGCTAAATCAATGTATATTTGTATGACAATTTTACTGAATAAAACTGAACTGAATCCCTTTTTATTTGCCAACAGCCAAGTGAAGGTTGTGAGAATTTGGTGAAGATCGACGTGTCAGAGACGGACCCCGGAATCTCCTCGGTGCAAATCACAGTCACGGAAGGCGCCGCCTCTTCTTCCTCTTCGAATTTGTCCTCCACCAAGTCTCCAGAAAGTGCCCCTGCGAAGCCTGATAATACCAGGATGAAAGAGATCCTCCTGAATGATGCTTCAGTTGAGGCCTCGTGAGTACAGAACTCCAGTTTGCTTGCCTTTATAAAGTTGTACAGTACAGTCAGTTGAGGTCTTGTTCATATGAGGCATATAGAACACAAAGGGCAAACTTGCCACTTCGCCTCCTTCAATGAATGTAATTAAAAACGAAAGTATGCTCTTTTTCGAAAACAGAAACTCAGGAAATTGGCAAGTTCACCCTTTGTGTTCAATACGCCTCATATCACCTGAGCCATGTTGCCATGACTATCCGTCACAAATGCTGGAAATTACCGGTAAAACTAAGAAACAAACATGTAACTCTAGCTTACAATATGAGACAGTGACCTCACATAATGATTGAGTCATATTAAAAGACGTTCTGTATTGGTAAAAGTATGTTCATTTTATATATACTATACTGTACTATATATAAATTCATAAGCTAAAACCAATATAATATTTGTTTCTCTTTTTTTCACATTTTGAAATTAACTCATACAGGTATTGTACTTAAATGAATTGCTCATTGGTCAGAACTAAGAATGTAAGGGTAATTTTATTGAATTTAGGTTCATAATATATTAATATAGTAACTAATTTTTTCTCCACAAACATACAGTATTAGAAATTGCTGGATAAATAACAAACATTGGAATATGTACTGTGCTAAATATAGTAAGATTTGTACTAAAGTGATGAGAAAAATACAGTATATAGTATTGTGTGTCTGTACTATACTAAAAAAAATATATTGTTGCTTTACATGATTTTAAAAGTATATTAATATCTGCACTACAGCTGCAACACAGACCAAATGAGTAAAGACAAACATATCTGTGTCTTTGCCCTGCTTTATACAAATGACTAAATGCCTATGTGTACAGTACAGTATCTTTATCTCCAAACTGTGAGTAAATATTTATCTTTCTTGTAGCTGTACAGAGATGTGTTGATCAGGTAGGCGTTTCATTACAGGGATGTATGAGAGAGGCCGTGGACGTCCCCCGAGGAGGGACCAAGACTCTTTTCTCAGCCACCACGACACTTTGATGTCACCTCATGGCACCTGATGTCGCCTTAATCATGTGATGTCAACCGAGGTCATGCAGAAGAGGACAGAAAGAGAATGCTAGTGATTTTATAGCACAGTATTAACTTATGGTGATAAACACTACTGGTTAAAGGCAACACTTTAACCAACACTTACAATACTGTATAGTGAATGTTACTGTCACTGAAGTGATTTTTTGTTTTACTTCAGTTTTGAACAACGAATCTGTGTATAGGTTCTGGTGATGAGGTCAAGAAGGATTTTGGACTGTAAGTGAGAATCAACTGTCAGATCTCATAGCATCAGAACCCTAGTGAGAGCTGTTGATCTCTGTTGACTTGAATTTGTTTGTGCCCCGATCTTCGCCTTCCAAAGTTATTATGGTCTATACATGGAGTGCATTGTGAAGTGGAGTCTTGTGACTTAATCCTGTGTGCAACCCTGATAGATTTTGTACTGTACATTCCATCCCCTGGCAGGAAGTGTTTAATTTATTTGGTAATCATTCCATGTATCGCAGTACCTTTGTATCCACCTTTTTGTGTGGATTTTGTAAGATATTAGTTGGTACTGTTGAGTGGACAATGATATATAAAGATTTATATATAAATATATATATGTATATATACATGTACAGTATACACTTATGTATATGTATATATATATATATATTATATGTATTGACATTAAACCTTTTTTGTGAATTTGAAATATTTTTATATCATTCACAGTCTTCAAAGCTACAACCTAGTCCTAGATGCTCTAGTTCTTGTTAATAGATAGTTAATGGAAACAATGTTGACATATTTTCCAGGTCTTTCTAGAAAATAGTGTACAGTCTATTTTATATTATGTCCCTATATCTTAAATATTACAATTAGATCCACATAGTTCCTTCATGTATTTGTAACCGATTATGAAACACTTGTCATATTAATAGTGATGTTGGTTTATACTCAAGTTTACAGTGTGAGTGTCTTACCCCCACACACAACACGTGCGGTATATACGATGACGGGCATCGTGTATTATCTACCTTGTTAATGTTCATAACTTACATGAAAAATAAAAGTTGCAGCATAATACTTGGCCAGGTATTCCCCTGTATAATAATAGTGAGTCTAGCTCTGGACTGTAAGCATCTCCACATCAAGAACCAGCAATAACACAAGTACTTGGGCAGAAAATAATACAGCCCGTGGTTTTCAATATGAGACACGAGTTATACAAAGTTTACGTAGGAACTTTTTTCTCTTTGTAACGAGTAAAACTACAGTGTTACAGTGAGTGATCTTGTAGCTCATTACAGTTAATGCTGTTTCATGGAGGTTGTTTAACATTTTTGTAAGAGTTGTATACAGTGTATTAGTTACTACTATAAAAAATTTAGTTCTGATCAAGTTTAAGTAGTTTTCTCCTAATATCACAACATAGCCACTTGTGTAGTATATTATTGATCATGTTGCGTCGTCATATCACTACAAGCCTTTCCAAAGAATATATATATATATATATATATATATATATATATATATATATATATATATATATATATATATATATATATATATATATATATATATATATATATATATATATATATATATATATATATATATATATATATATATATATATATATATATATATATATATATATATATATATATATATATATATATATTGTAAGTGACAATCTACAGCACCATCATATTACAGTAGTTGGTTTAACTTCAGCAGAATTAGAGGGAACAACAGATATGTAGATGACTTATCAATAAATGGGAGCAGTAGAAGAATAATGTCTCATTAATAATTATCTTGGGACTAGTGTAGTTCTCCTGGGTGCACTTATTGTGGAACATCATTGTCTTGTGTACTGCTGATGGTTCAACAACAGCACAACTATATGCACAAATGCATATTTTTGAAAGCTATAAATGCTGTAGATTATTTGTTTGCCCAAGTCAGTAAAGAAGATTTAATCACACGTGTACTGCCTTGTGCTGGATTTACCGAGTATAGATACAACAACTTATATCTCTCACCCTTGTACCTATACTGTAAATTCCACAATATGATACTGTATGTTTTAAATCTGTGTATATAATTTTTTGTATAATATTACAAAGAACATATGTGAACAATAAAGCCAAAAGAACACATTTGTATTGAAGTCAAATATTACAACTGATTGTTTTGAACTGTTCATAATATTTGATAAGTGAACAAGACTGTGACCACATGTCTTGCCCTCCTCACACCACCAGGAGAGGCAACGTACAATAACCACCTTAAAAAAATTCAATAAAAATTCAATAAATTCAAGTAATGAGTCTTGAGTGTTGTGGTGGCTGTACCTGTGTCTTAACTAGTCATGTGTCTTTTTCTGGGGAGACAAAAGACACCCTGACCTTGACATGTTGCAGTGCAGCCCCTTGGGACTAACTGCTGAATTTCTCATGCTTTTATTGTTTAGACAAACTGATTTATATTACTATGGTACCCAGCAAGTACTCAGTGCTGTTGTAATGTTATTTCAGCATAAATTCATCATTGAAATAACATTCTGTACTGTAATGTACTGTACTGGCAGACTCATTCAAACTTTTATGATTAATGTTGGAAATTTTGGGAAGCTTTCATGAATCACACACAATCATATTGGTGGCATTACTAGAAATACAAAATAGCCAAAGTTTTATAGGTGAAATCAATAATCTACTCTACTAGGGAATTTTTTATATAAATCCTTGTGTAAGTGATGTTTATGTGAAATTTCCCTTCCTAGATCTCTTCATAAATTATTAACTACCATACATGACTTTAACATCTTGCATAATTCAGAATCTTGGTTCAGACCTTAATGTCTGTGTTTTGAGTTGAATCTGTAGTGGCATAACAGTATGGTTGACATTAGTTTAATTTTCAAGAAATATTTTGATTATATTTGTCACATGCAAGAAAGTGAGTACTGTACTAAGATTATATACCTATTTTGTTTTTGAAAGAAAAGAGAAATTGTTTGTGTAATAATGTCAATCATTTGATGCACTGTACTCTTACCTCAGTGTTTGATTACTTACATAATAATATTTACTTGTGCAAAACAATGTTATGTACAGTAAACATATTATAAGTGGATCATTTGCTTCGAGGTTTTCTTCATGTTCTCCCGTTAATTTCGTACCACTGTGCAACTTCAATCTGTTGTATTCGAATGACCATTTAGCCTATGGTTTATTTATTATTGTAGTTATACAGATAGTGAATGTATAGTATCTGCTTTAGGTGTTTCACAAGCTATATAGCAGATGTGTATATACTGTATTGAACTTTTGATTCCAAATACAGGTACAGGTAATATTTTAGTGAGGTGGAAAATGAGTATACATAGACTGATTCATTTTGTCTTTGGAATAATTGTAGAAAATAAAATAAAAATTTCTCTGTAAATTATTACTATTTTTTTTTTTAAATAACCAAACACAGTAATGTCAGCTGATGAATTATGATTAGAGTTGATGGTGTTGAGCAAGAGTTAAACTCACACTGGTAAAGCATTGAGGACATACAGGTTATCTTGCAGCTGTCTTACGTTTACGGTATCCCCTGACAATTCGCGGTCCTCTATTATTTGCGGATGACACTCTGGATGTACCCAAGAATGCCTGTGGATAGTTTTAAAGTTGGCGGCATTTTTGCGGCCGGGACGGAGCCATTTGTTCTAGAGACAGTAATTTCTTTTTCCTGTACTGTGTATGTGTGTAGACACACCCACACACACACACATATACAATACAGGTGAAAGAAATAATTGTCCTAAGGGCAAACACATAAGGGAATATACATTTCTTTGTACACAAGTAAAAATACCCCCCCCGCCGTGCGCGAATTTGGATATTCGCGGCCATTTTGAGAACCTAACCCCTGCGAATTGGAAGGGCATTGTGTATAGTGAAAACCTATCTGACTCTGAACAGGAAATTAAGACTGTACTATAATTATTTCCATTTATCCACATTACATTAATTCTTAGTGTTTTTTATCTTTTCTATCAGTTATTGGTAAATGCTTTCTTTTCCCTAACCGAGGAAAGATCATGGTCGCCAAAGCTGAAACTCCATAAAAACCGATTGTTCATTAATTATTTTCAACTAAAGGGGGGGGGGGGAGGTTAAAGGGTGTCTGAAATAGACACCAGAAATTTTAAAATAAGAGATTTTATTATTTACTCTTGTATAAATTTTTCCTAGTAACAAAATACTTTACATAAACCTTCTGTAAATGCTTAAGGTTTGTGTTTAAGATCCCTAATTATTGAAAAGAATAAGATATTATATTTTGTCTATCAATACATATAGTATTAGCGCCTTCAGATCACTAGATTTGCCCCTAAAGGTAGCTTTAACTTACACTGTGATATTAAAACTTAAAATTCTAGGCATATAAATAACAACAACAAATGCATATACCCGGTACAGTAAATAACAATAAATGAAGGCATAAAAAGATAAAAAAAAAATTATATAAGTCCACGTACACACTGCATCACAGTACCGTATCATGTTAGGCTGGCCGCCTCGACACTCGCCTAAGCAACCACCCCGGTAGAGATGCTGCCTGACTGTTCCCATGCAATGGCCATGTACCGCCAACCTCCACACACGCTACACGGCTTCATGATAGAAACCTTTAGATACTTACAAATTAAGACCTTATGATAATTATTTATTTTATTTTGTACATTTCTGTATTTAGGATTGTTTTTACGTGTAACTGACTACGAAAAAAATCAGAACATTACCTGAAATTACGACTTGAAAAATAAGCATAACGTATAGCTCACAGGTGAGACACTGGAGGAGTTCCTCCACTCTTTGAAGCTGCTTAGTGCCGACTGTAACTACAAACCAGTGCCAGCTGAGAAGTACAAAGAAGAATCTATGCATTCATGTGCGGACTACAGTCTAATATCATTCGGAAACGTCTCCTCGAAAATAAGACCTTGGACCTAAAATCTGCATTTGACCAGACTAGGGCTCTGGACCTTGTTCAGAGGAGTTCTGAATTGTATTTGGCACCTCCTGTGACTATGCATTCTGCCTCTACTTCTGGAGTGGAAGGTTGTGATAGCGGTAATGTAGAACGGTCGATACAGATTCTCAAGTTGTAGTTGTTCTTTCTTTAAACCAACAAAAGTGTTATTTTTGTGGAAATCGTAGGCACCCTCATCACAAGTGTCCAGCACGTGAAGGGGCCTGTAACAAATGTGGTAAAAAGGGTCGTTTTGCTAAAGTGTGCAGGTCATCATCTTCAATAGCTGCTTCTTATTCCCCTACTCTAGCATCAGTACCGGCGAGTATATCCAGAGCTTCAGTGCATATGTTAATGAATGGTAATAAAGTAGATGATCATTTGAATACTGGAAGTTTAGAGATTTTTTTGTATGAAAAGCTGGCGAAGTATTATGATATACCACTGTATTCTAGAAATAGCCGAGTGTCTTGACCACCTCATCTCTCTCTCTCGACAAAGGTGGCAGGGTATTGTATTGTAAACCTAAAATTGCAGGGTCATATTTACAATTATGTCAATCTATCTGTTTTGCCTTATTTGTGTAGTGATGTTATTAATATTAGGTCAGGATTTTATGCAACAACATGATTATGTAAGTGTGAAATTTGGAGGGAAGAAAACCCCTTTAACAGTAAGTGGGTTGTCCACTTTATCAATTCCTTCTCCACTTCTTTTCTCTAATGTAATGCCTGATTGTAAGCCCATTGCTACCAAGTCTAGACGGTACAGCACCGCCGATCTTCATTGAGTCTGAACTAAGTCGACTACTTGAAGGTATTATTGAACCTAGCTCATGGTCATAGACTCTTCTCAGACAGTGAACCGTTTTACTCAACTTGATGCGTACCGACTGCCTCGTATAGAGACTCAGTCAATACGGTAGCACAGTACTGGTTCTTTAGAGCCACTGATTTCAAGTCTGCTTATCATCAGATTCCTCTGCATGAGGAGGATAGGCCTTATACTGCTTTTGGGGCAGGTGAAAAATTGTATAATTTTGGCAGATTGTCTTTTGGTGTCACCAATGGTGTGGCTTGTTTTCAGTGTACAGTATTATGAATGATTTCATTCCTGGAAACCCTCTTGCTGATAGTTTTGCTTACTTGGACAATGTAACTATATGCGGTAGAACCAAAGAAGAACATGATATTAATCTGCATAAGTTTCTTGAAGCTGCCAAAAAGAGTAAACTCACATTCATTAATGATAAATGCACCTTTTCTACTGAGTGTCAACTTGTTGGGATATTCAATTTCTAATGGAGAAATTAAACCTGATCATCAACGTCTTAAACCTCTCAGGGATCTTCCTGTTCCACATAACATGAAGTTGCTACGACAAGCTCTGGGTATATTTTCATATTATTCAGTGGATTGTTAACTATTCACGTAAAGTGAGGCCACTCATTCAAGTCAACTCTTTCCCCTTGCCATGTGAAGCTA